AAAAAAAAAAAAAAGAAAAGAAAAATATTTAGCTCACAGTTTAATCACAAGTGCTTTTCCTTGAGACAGCTATTATACTTCAAAGTATGTAGCAGAAGTGCTTTCTTGCATTTTTTGTTTTGCCACACAGAATATTTTAAAATGTATACTCAGGATCAAGTTTTAATAAAATCAAGGATATTCTTAAAAGAAACTTTTTTTTTTTTTTGCTAATGCTTGATAGTGAAGGATATAGTGACTACTAATAGAGTTGAGTGCCACTGCCTTCTTTAATCTTAGGACATCAATCCACCATTGATTTTTGCATCATCATTGTAAATGTCCATAAATGAAAAGGGGAAATAATACCTTAGTATTTTTATGAAATAGTTTTGATATAGTGGTTATCCTGAAAAAATCTCAGGAACTACCCAAGGAACCATACTTTGAGACCTGCTGTCTTAAAATAGTGTGTGGATGAAATTACATTTGGAATAAAAATACTAATAGTTTTAATGTTTTCTCTCTGTTTGTTTTCCAGAGAATTAAGTATTGAAAATTGGATTATGCCTGCAGTTTATGCTGGCCATTTTTCTCATGTAATATGGCTTCATCCCACGTGGGCTCAGCAAATCAGAGAGGGTAAACACCACTTTTTAGTAGGCAAAGACACTTCTACTACAACAATCCGGTAATTTCCTCATATTTATGAATATAAAAAGGGTTGAATGTTTCTATCTTGTTTTGGATCCCTGTAATAACTTCATAAATATCTCTACCCACAAATAGGGTCAGATTAAGCCTTCTTCCCAAAAGAATTCTCAAAACACCAGGAACAAGTCTCTTCACATCATTCATGTATCATTTATATTTTGTTGCCGGACAAATTGGATTCTGAATAATATGATTTTCATCCTCTGGAATTTAGGCTGCATTGATGACTAACATCATTAAATTATTGCAGTATGTTATAGATTTCTGTAATATTAATCAATAGTACATTTTACTGTTTTCTTCCAATGTAACTATTGTCTGCTTAATTTAACAGCAGTGTAAGAGCAAAATTATCTTACTTTGGTTTTTTTAATAAATCCAATGGCTCAATTAGTAGATTTGAGGTTTTAATTTTATTAATATAATTAGTTTTAGGCCGGGCGC